TCTACCCTCCTACCCTACTGCTTCATTACTTTATGTCCAACATACATCATTTGAGAAGCTGGGACAGTTTAATATATATTTACGGTGGTGGAGGTAGGGGCAGGTGGCTGGGGAAACTAGCATGTATTCCAATTCACCTGCACTGGCTGAGCACTGGCTCTGCGCCTTCCACTATGCAAAGCCTAGGAAGAGCGTGAGGCTTTTCCAGAGTCCCAAGTCCTTGAGGTTGGGCATGAGCTCAGACAGTGGGAGCAGAGCACACAACCTTCAGTGGAAAGCCTCTGAGGGCTCCTGCAGAGGTCTGGTAAGATCAGACCTTCACCCCGTCTGAAAGACACTTCCTTAGCAATAGAACAAGGCTCTATCATCTAAAGACAGAGGAATGGCACAAATCTCCTTGCCAGGCTCAACTTTGTGGAAAAAAAGATCTCCACTGAAAGTTCTCCCTCAAGGAGAAAGAACTCCCTCCCTCAGTGAAATGCGCCGAGAATTAGATAGCAACTCTATGCAAATGCTTGATCCAGCAGGCTAGAAAAGAAATTGGTCTATTTCTACTTCACTCTTTAGGCTTAGAATGGACATTCGGGACTGAAGCAGCTGAGAAACCAACCTGTTGGAGTGGAAAATAGTGGGCTTGTTAGGAGGCAGACAGCACCAGATTCCCATTTTGCCTCTACGTGCTCGCAAGCTGTTTGACTATGAACGTGTTTCTTTACTTCTCTGAGCCTTTCTTTCCTCACCATAAAATGGACCAACAATAATACCTATGGAATGGGTTGCTGGAACGTTAAATGAAAGAATGCATATGAAGCCCCCAGTACAGTCCCAGGCGAATCATAAGTCTTTAATAAATGTGGACCAGAGTTATTATTTTTCAACACTCAAAACAGCGTAATTGAGGGGAAAGAGGCAGTCACCTAAAACAGTTTTCCTCCATCAAGGCAAAGGGCATAGTTTCCTAGTGAGAAAATGTGGGTAAATTAGGTCGTGAATTCTTCTCCTAGAATAGCAAAAGACTGTATCGCAGGAGCCTTTGTGTTATGCTAATGTGTAAATATTACTGAGCTGAGGATCACTTATTAGCACTGCAGAAACCGTCATCTGCCTCCTGAGCCTGCAGCTTTGGAGAAGGATGCCTCTGGGCTCAGAAGACTTGAGGCAGCCACAGAGCTTCTAGGGAGCCAGTTCTGGTTGCTTGCTACTCTCTGGCGGCCTTAGGTGCCTGCGCCCTCCTCCCTGGCTGTTCCACACAAGCCGCAGGCCCTCCCTACTCCTCTGGGAGGGCACACCTCTGGGCGGCTGTCTGTTCCAACGCTGACTGCATCCCAAGGCCTTCGTCCTCCACGGAGCTGTCCCTGAGAACTCTCGCTTGTAGCGATCTTTCCTTTCTCTGAGATATCACAGTGAAAATTTAACATCTATTGCAGGGCTATCCAACAAAAATACAAGGAGAGTCAGATACATAATTTTTCTTCCTAAGAGCCACATTAAAGAAAGTAAAGGAAATAGGTGAATTTGATTTTAAGAATATGTTTTGAAGTCTGGTATGTATTTTATACTTCCAACACATTTCAATTTGGACCAGCCCCATTTCCTGTGCTCAGCAGCCACATGTAGCGAGGGGATTTTGGAGACTTAGAAAAACTAACTAACTAACTAACTAATTAATTAATTAATTATAATTACTATGTTTTTTCATCTAACTAATTAATTAATTAATTATAATTACTATGTTTTTTCATATTGATTACATGTTGAAATGGCAGTCTTTTGGATACATTGGATTAGATAAAATATATCATTTTTTATGATATAAAAAATTTTATGATATAAAAAATTTTATGATATAAAAAATATCTCAGGGGCCCTTTCACCAGAAAGCAAAGACTTTAGCCCCCAAGCCCCAGCTCTTTTTCCTTGAACTTCCCACGGCAGGGTCTGCCTCCAGGGCTAACAGGCAAGTGGATGGAAAGAAGAAAATCTACAGTTATTCCCTCAACTCTTTAAACCACAGTCTGAGTCATAGTCTTCTCTGGTCAGAGAAAAGCTTTCCCTTCACACGGGGTTTTAGCAGCCTGCCTAAACTCTGCTGCTGTTTGCATCAGCTAGGAGAGCAGGTTCCAGGACAGAAGTTTGCCTGTGGGCTGGGGTAGGAGAGGAAGAAAAAACACAGGGGTTGCGCCCACTCTCTCTGTTCTTTAGGGTCCCTATCCACATTCCTTGGACCAGAGCAGGAGCTTTTCTTGGGGCTTTTTCTGTGCCCTTATGTGTGTGAGGAGACATGCCATCTTTGAACCCTGGCTAGAAGAAGTAGGAGTAAAAACCCCAGGAAACTCACAGTCTCAAGTTTACTTAGAGCTCAAGTTTCCTTTCCCAATTCATCCCCTCCTGCTTACTTTTCAGTCCTCAGATAGACGTTCTATGTCTTTTATCCTGGATTTTGGTTGCACTCAGTGGCAGAAACAAGCTGGAGTGTGCTTACTCCATCTTAAACAGGACCAGAATCTTCAGGAAACATTTCTTCACGTGTGTTATACTGCATTCAACCTCTGTGACACTTGTCATCCACAAATGGCATCAGGAGAAACTTCAGAGCAGATTAATTAGGATTCCATATTCCTAGACCATGCCAAGTAACCATTAGATTCACATACTTTGAAGGAAACAGAACTGGCTTTTTGCATTGAGGACACAGGGACTTCAACACTTGTCCTTAAGTCTGGAATGAACTAAGAAAAATAGTTGACTTTTTTCTTTGTGAAAAATTTAACATCTACATTATTGACTCTGTCACATATGCTTTTACTTAGGGAATGTATATTGCCTCCATGTTTTCAACCATATTTTTGTAAACATCTGACTTGATAAGGCAGCTGTGGGTTTTATTTATTTGGAATCTCTGATCTTCACTCATAGGAGCCTTACGTTTCCTTTTATGGTAGACAATAGATTTTGAAATAAGTAATTATGTGTTACTGCTGAGAGGTACATCCATTTACACAGGCCAACTTATTGCCAAAGTTACTGTCCATTTAACCATAAAGGAAGTGATCCACACCTCAAAAAATCATTAGAGGGCCACTCATTAGTTTGGACACATTATGTGCCCAAATAATTCACATAGCTGACAATGCACTGTTATGATGAGCTAAATTCCAGAAAATGTGAAATCATTTGAATGGTTAAGAACATTAGAAAAAAAAAAAGAACATTAGAAAAAAAGTTATTGGAAATGATAATGTGGATATTTGCATAGTAATATGTACTGCACAAAATGTTCTTATTCAATTGATTATTCATTCTTATAGTCATCATTTATGGTCTATTATGTGTCATCAGTTTGCTAAACACCCTCATAACTCATAATTTGTGAGTAACCTTAGGTGTGTTCTGCTTTCAACCAAATCTTATACAGAAAAGTCTGAACTGACAGAACAGATATAGTGAGATCTATACAAATAGAAATTGTTGGCTTTTCAAAAGAACAATGAACTTCAAAATGTTTCCATTTATAAACATTAAGGCTACACATATTTTGGGAGACTGTAGACTCTAAGTATTATAAGGGGCAAAAGGCATGGGCTGTGGACTCAGAAATGCTTAGCTTTAAATCCTTGAAATTCAATTAACCATCAGCTTTGTCATCTGTAACTTTTGGAAGATAACAGTACCTATGTCAAAGGACGTGAGCTCAAGTGTGCCTGACACAATGCAGCTCAAGTTCACAGCACAGTCAAGCACATGGTGAGCTCCCACCATCTATATAACTACTAGGTAATATAAAATGAATTACTTCTCAAGAGTTGAAATAATATAAATATAAATACATGAGTTTGTTCTATTATCTGTAACGGTTCAGAAGAGTGATTATATGTATGAATAAGCTTGATAGGGTATATGCCAGCCTCAAATATTTGAATTTTCATTTCACAATTTCTATCTCAAATGAACTAACTTTAATACTCATCTTATTTTCTTGGACTATTTTTATCTTTATCACTTATTAAGATTAAGCACCCACAAGGTGTGTTTTGAGGATCTACAGAACCCATGTGAGACGTAATCTGGCTTTCTCAGAGTTTACCTGCAGAAAAAGACAAGATGTACTTTAAAAGATTATCTTCAGGAATGAGGATTATTTGTGTTGCTAAACTCTGTGCCAGCAAGAGAGCAGGTTCATTCACTCCTCTCTTCATGTCTCACTCACTGGGTGGTGGTTTTAATGAAATAAAAATACTTAACCACCTTCTCATGCTTTCAAGAGGGGCTGCTGAGCCTTTCACTAGAGTGAACAGAAAGCAAAGCCGAGATGTCATCATACTGAGAGAGTCTGGGAAGTTCATAACCACTGTAACAGTAATATCATTCGTTAGGTACCAGCTGAGAGGTGGATTTTCTGCTAGGTGTTTTCACATTCAATCCATACAATAAGGCTTTTTATTACCTTCATTTCACCTCTGTAATCAATGAGGCTTAGAAATGCTTAGACGAGCCCCAATTGAAACCCAGGAGTGTCTACGTTTTTAATATACTATTCCTTAGCTCAGCTCAAGCACACATAATATAGAACAAAAATGTCTGCTTCTCTTGAGTATCTTCCCCGTTAGACTTTCTTCAATAGGTAAATTCTAATGATCAGTGTGTGGCACTTGAACAACAACTCCCTCACTTCTATCCGTCAGCCATTACTAACCCATCACAGTGCTCTTTTCCAAAAAAACTGGAATTAGCCTCAGAATCCCTCCTAACACAGTATGCTATACCCAAGCACTCAATCTCAACCAAAATTTATTTGGCATTGCTTCCACAACCCCTGTTGTTGACTCTAGTAACAGCACATATTACATGTTTAAATTATGTCCTTCCCTTTTAGTTTTAGCTGTTAGGACTTCAATAACAGACCAGTCATCTTTCTAAATCCAGGCCCGTGGACACAGTCTACCAGGTAACACAGTCGGCACCAAGTAAAAGTTTTGTTGGATCAAATGTAAGTAAATACTTTCAGCTTAAATCTACTTGACTACCAAGTGCTAAACATGTGTTATTTGTTAATAATTAGAATACTTAACATTTATTAAGCATTTACTATTTGCCATGCATTGAGCTAAGTAGATTGCACTTTTTTAAAACAATTATTCCATAAGATAAATATATTACCTGCATTTTATAAATAATGATACTGAAATTCAGAGAGCTTAAATGATATGTACAAGGTCACAGTGCCCAAGTATTCTCATCCCCAGACCCAGTCTTAACCACTATATTGGTTATAGCAGAAAACCCGCACAAAACATACTTTTACATCTCACTGTACATTTTTATTACATACTACTGTCAATTACTGGCTTTCAAGAACCTTGCCAGGAGATCCCTGAGTTTTATTTCAAAATTTTACCAGAAAATTAAGTATCTCTCATCGTTGCTTTTGGGGTCCACCCCACAAAAAAAGACCATGAATTAACAGATGAGAAAGTAAGGTCCTGCGGAAGTCTCTCTCTCCTTTCCAATTCCTTAACACTAGAACCACTTCAGGATCTACTTGGTGCTGGCCACTGTGACAGGGGTGCAAAGGTGAGTAAGACTTAGTCCGTGATATCACAGTATTCACAGTCTGATGTGGAGGTAGTAGCCACATAATGTCAATCTAAAGAAACCAATGATGCTACATGTAAATGAGGAAAAGACACTCAGCTTTGCCTATAGAATCTTGAGTGGTAGAAAAGAATCACCCAGGAGGTTAAGAAAAGGAAGGGTACACCACAGAAATAATATGTGCAACATTGTACTTAGAGTCAAAATCCAGGCATTTCAGAGCATTGACTATTGATTTCAAAGTCCTTAACATGTACCCTTCATCCCTCTCAAAATGGTTTGGGATCTTTCAAATATAACTCCACAGGTCTGCCCTGGAATTTCAGATTCCAGGCATTGAGCCTATGATCATACATATGCTTCCTACATCAACACATGGAAGTATTCTTCTATTTATTTATTATTTTAATGCAGTGATTGATCATGGTGTTGAAGGGGATCATGAGTTTTTGAGGTTTTTAGTTCACCTTGTACATACCCTGAGGGTCCACCTTCTGAAACCAATGAAGAGCTCATAAGCATACCCTTTCAGAACTGGGACCTTCAAAAAGAGGCACATAAATTCCCCAATTTCCTATGAAAGACATTATTCAAGTGTCCTCAAGTGACAGATGGTCTAATAATGTGCAAAAATGTGCACTTACACTCTGAGGTCAGCTCTGTTTTACTTGAGTTTTTCACTCACACAAGTACCATCTGGAGCCCACATCCTCTATCTTTAGCTTTAAATAAATCCTGATTTACCTCAGAAATATTTGCCAAGAGTCTGCTTCCTAGAAAAATGACCAGTTTCTCCTTTTTGAGGTATGCTTTTGCAATATATGACACCAAGCAGGCGCTTAGCAAATGGCTGCTATTAGGATGCTCGTTAGGATGCTACAAAGGAACGGAACCTATTGGGAGCAAAGGTTGAGGAACTGCAGCTAAAACTCTTTTTTTTGTGTTTGCATGTTTATGTGGGTCAGTCTGGAAAGATCACACTGTTTTCTTTCAGCTGGAGCATCCTAATCCAAATTAAAGCTGCATGTGTTACATCAACATTTTGACTCAATACTGCTAAAGCTTCTTTGCCAAACATCTTTTCAGCTCTCAGAATTTGTAAGTATGGGGTACATTTTGATCTGATGATGTATGCGTATAGAAGAAAGAAAGGATGAATGCTTGAAGACAGGCTCCAAATCCTGAAGGGGTTATGTGCTGCTGCCTTCCTTGAAGAGCCAGAGGCGCGCTTTTGTTGGGTCTACCCCACAACACAGTGGTGGCGTATTTGTGACTGATACCTTGCGTAAGGGAACTATGGCCTTGATACCCATGCTTTCTCTCTGGGACAGAATCAAGGTGCATAAAGGATATCATCAGCAATTCCAAGGTGTTATCCAAGCCAGTCCTGAGTCCACTGCACTCTGGAAAATGCCTTAAGCATTTAAGCTGAGCTACTGAGAAACGCAAGGAAGCTAATCCAGCTACTCTTTTTGTGCCAGCCATTCGGCCCCCAGGTGCTACGAGCGCTGGTCTGCCTGCCAGGACTGAAGTGGAAATGGACCGCACCCGCGCTTTCGCAGTGACTTCCCCTGAGAACAGGAAAGCATCCCTTCCCTCCTTGAAATGGACCCGGATGTAGAGTCAACTAGTTCTAAACTCTTTTTCAAGCTTGACTAATAATCTCTTAAGTCAATTCTTGGTAGGAGGGGAGTCCTACATATATATAGAGATTATATATATATATATTTTTTTCACCCCCCGGAAATAAGGAAATGAGTAATTCCAAAGTTTTGGCATTTCCTTCCAATGCCAGGAAGCCATTTCCTTCCAATGCCAGTAAGGAAACCTGGAATTGTACCATGTTTTTTACCTTTTGGGGAAACAATTCTAAAGGCTTCTTTGTAAGTTAATTTAGAAAATCACCCATGATTCCATTATCTAACAATGATGTTTTTACCATTTTTATTTTTAAAAATCTGGCCTTCTACATAAATATTGAAAAAGTAAGAGTGGGAAATCATGTATAAAATTTTGCAGAATGAACTTTCTTCCTAAAAGTATTGTGGCCACTTCCATATATTCTTAATTTCTAAATATTTTCAAAACTTTGACACTCACTATGCTGTTCCTTTATCCCCATGACTGATATATTATATAATTGGAAGCCTGCACTTCTTTATCCTCTTTGTCCACTTCACCCACCCCATATTCAAATGTCACCTAATAACCCACAGAATCCACTTTGAGAAACACTATATAAAATCAAGCCAGGAAATATACCATGGCAGTTCATAGAGAAGGCTCCAGCAAGAAAGATCTGAATTTGAATTCTGACTCTCCCCCTAACCAACTGAATGAGCAGGGATATTATGTAAATACTTAATGTCATAACATATACTGAGCACCTGCTATGTAACAGATACTTGCTAAGGACCTTACATGTATTAATTTCACTTAATCCTACAACCTCATATAGCCAGTACCATTATATGCATACTTTGCAGAAGAGGATACAAAGGCCAAAGAATGTTTACTACTTGAAATCACAAAACAAATACATGAACTTGATCTGGCCTGTGTCTACTTCACAAGATTGAGTTCCCCCATTCTCCTCTGGTCAGAGATCTGGCCCCCTGGTTTGTCCCCCTAATGCCTGGATACTTCCTCTTCCTTGCCTCAGTATCACCTCCAACACCCCTCCTTCCTTTTTACCTTTTATACGTTCCCTAAATGTCACTTACTCCAGGAAGCCTTCTTAATACCCTATTCTGTACTTTGGCCACCTACCTTTTCATTTAGAGCATTTATGGGGATTAATGCTCTTTGTGACTATGAGTTCAGTGTATATCCCTGGCTGGTTCCAAGATGCCCTCACATCTGTATCTCACCATACAATGTGAATAACTGGACCATTAGTGACACATCATTTTCAATTATTTAGCCATCAATACAGCCAGTTCCCCTGGCTTGCTTTTAATATACTTCCATCATGTCAAAGAGGAAGGATAAGAGATGAGTGAAAGTGCTAAGTTAAATCAGAGGACTTTGGGTGAGGAACCTTGGGAGGAAGGGGTTGTGAAAGGCTTATCCATTCTGTATTCCTCTTAGAACAGAGGCCTGAATCTGAGCATACCATTTTTTGCCAAAAGAGTATATGCATGGTTGTGGAGGGAGTACTACTGCATTCACATGACCTTTTTGGCAACATGAAGCATTAAGCCCACAAAACTGTTGCCAAACAAAAATTTTAACATGCCAGGTCCTGACCACAGAGCTTCTCATACCCTGGGGCATCTCAGGGAGGACCAGGGTAAGTGGTATGTTGTTCTAAGGCTCACCAATTCCACACACTTCTTCATATAAGTGGGAGCCATTGCCTCAGTCTCCATGGTCAAATAAATAAAGGAAATGCTGCAGCAAACTTTGTCTTGAAAACTTACAGTGCACATTAAAGCATTAGAGAAGCTAAGAGGTCCTTCAGAGAAAAAAAATCTATTTAAGTTTACACAGTTCCTAAATTTATTTAGCCATGTTTAGCCATAGAATGCTGGCTTGGATTAAGTTGTGCCAGAAGCAGAATCTGAGATAAGGATTTAAACACAAGCAGTTTTATTTGGGAGGTGAATTTATAGAAAACATCAGGAGGGGAGACAGGAAGCAAGGTTGGAAAGGGAAGGAGGCCAACCCAGGGTGCATTAATGAGCAGGTTTACTTCTGTGGGCACCTGGGATTCACCCATGCTGGGGACTAATGATGGGAAGAGCATGCCTCAGAGGTGACCCATCTTAGGGGTGAGGGAGCTGGATATTTACCCACCAACTCTCACCAGTCACAAATTGAGGGCTGTTTCCAGGGTCACTAACCCTGGAACCTGCAGCCTGCCCTGCACTGCACCTGGAGAATGCCGTCAGGCAGAACACCAGGTGTTTGCAATGGAGCACTCATGTTGTCATGTATGGTAACTATGAGTGCTGAGGGATAATGCATGGGACCTTACAATGTCTGCCACAAAGAGTCCGCCCTCTACTTTTTTATTTTTCATGCAGGACACCCATTCACACCTGGTGGAACTAGTATTTGAGGACAAAATTGATAAAACAGAATTCTAAAATTTGGAAATTAAGCAGTTCAATGAATTCCAAGAAGGTACCATTTAGCCGAACACATGAAGCCAATGTTATGCTATAGCTGATAAAACTCCAAAGAGAATTCCTATAAACGACACCAAATACCAGTCATATAAATCTCAAGGCTCAGCAAAAAATAGCCTTGGAAAGTCCTAACTTACGGGATGCTACATCATAGAGCCCTCTAAGGATCCGAACTTGGAATCAGGTTCTAACTTGGCTTGTCTGCAAAAGGGGAAAGCGAACTTTCCCACAGCCAAGGGCCCGGGGCATGGCACACTAACTGCATCCTGTATGAGGTGGTGTCAGGCTGTATCCCCAGTAGCCTCGGGTTGTCCACATACAGAGATGTAGTCATGGCAAAGACATGGAGCTCTGAGGACCCCATTCTCACGAAATGTCTTACGTTCAGGCCAAGTCAGACAATACAATACAATATTAACAAATCAACAGAGAAAATAATTGTAGATGGTGGTAAGGGTTATGGAGACATTCAAGAGGATAATGGGAGAAAGGGCAGCTGGGGAGAATTACTTTAGGTTGAGTGATCTGGAATGACTTCTTTGAGGAGAGAAATATGAGCTGACACCTCCGTGTTTCATCAGAATAGAAAGCATTGCAGGAGGAGGAAACGCCAAGTGCAAAACTCTTGAGATGGGAATGAGACTGGAGGATTCCAGGACCCCAAAAAGGGCTTGGAGTAGTACTAGGAATGAGGGGTGGAGTGTGATTAGAAAAGGCTGACAAGGAAGGCTGCAAGTGGAACTTGTTGGAAAATTTCGTTTATTTTCTCCTCTATTTATCATTCTTAAGAAAATAGTCTCAAAAAGCATCAGAGAACATTTGCTGAATACCTAGTGATACTCCCATGTTCCTACATATCTGGGAAACTTAAGGGAATTCATCGAGCTGTCTCCAGGCAGCCATCCTTATGGTCTCATCCCTTTCTGCAGCATCTCCCACCAAAATCTCAAGTTGCCTCATAAATTAAAAGCAGTCCCTAAAAGCTGAAATGTTAACCTGCTCTGCAAGGCCTTGGGCCCCAGTCCCAAAAAGCAGTGATGTAAAGAAACAGGGCACAGAGTCACTAGGACCCACTTCTCGGTGGCAGGAAGTTGGCTGAGCCCACACCATCTGATCGCAACCAGCCTCAGCCCCTGGCACGCCCCAGGCGGCCCCCTTCCGGACTCGGCCTTCAGCAGCTCTACAAGAAGGTTCCCTGGTGGAGCAGCCTCAAGGCTCGCCCAAGGCCTGGCCCCTGGGAGCGGTAGCGGAGGGTCTGTCTCAGGAGGGCACTTAGTCTTGTATTGCAAGGGAAGGCTGATTCTTCACTCTCTGCCAAGCTCAGGATCAGAAGAAGAGGGGAAACAGAGGCCATATCTTGACCTCAGGGGTCCAGGACACCACAGCAGAGGGCTCTGCCATTGAGCACATTATCTGGGGGCCTAGGAAAACCTAAATTCTATTTCACAAGCAGTTATTAGGCACCTGATATATGCCGAGGAGTGTGAAATTAATGTCAGAAGAGACATGCAGAGAAGTTCAGAAGAGCGGGGACTGGGAAATTCATCACCTCACTGGTTTCTCTGGTTTGATGGTGGTTCATCAGGCCGATCTGGTACATGCAGGACCCTTGTTATTGTTACTCATGAAAACATTTTTTTTAGGCTGAGGAAGAGACAACAGAGCATTACCGTCAAGAGACATGGGGAAATGAGCAGGACAGGAAAACAGCTCAGGGGAGCTGAAACAATGGCCCGCTGTCCCCCAGGAAGAGCAGCTCTGAGGACTGGGTATTTGGTTGTCTCTCAGCAGTTTCTTTTCTATCCTCACTACCTTTGCCTGTTTCTTCTGCTTTTCCCAATACCTCTGGGTCCTTCCCCAGGACCTTGTTTTTGTTTGAAGCTTCTGATGGTGAAGAACCGAGAAGAAAGCAGGTTCCAGCTTTGTGGAAAGTGAAAGATCCCAAATGACAGTTTGGATGGCATCTGGAACCAGTGGTGCTGACAATGTAACCTCCATATATGGGCTACAAAGTTGTAGAGCCAGTATGTGCTGTTTTATATTTATTTCACTTAGACCAGCTTCTGCTGAGATTCTGTTACTTGCAAGCAAAATCATTCAATCAACCATACAGAAATAATCACATTTCCATTTGTGTACATATCCTTCCAGTCTTTTTTTTCCTCTCACTCTCTCCGTGTAGTTTTCTTTTTTTAAATAAAAGTGGGTCTTAATCTATACATTTTAATGCTGTTTTCCTTCCTAATCCTGTTACAAACTTTACTGCCTGTGACTAGCATCTAAGGCTTTTGGAGAAAAGACAGAGGATCGTCTGCTGCCCCCACCCCCACCCATCACCCTTCTGTCCCCGGGAAGGTATTTCAGAGGACAGGGGGTTATCCCGCAACATCCACAGAATGGCGGTTCCTTCCACATTCAGTTCAGCACCACTGGGCTGGAGACCGCCAGCTCTGATAGATACTCTGGCCTTACATCAGCTTGGATTCCTGCCTGGTCTTTCAAAGCACTCCCTTTTTAAAGTCTCCATACCCAGCATTTTCCATAAACATCTTACTGCCTTTTTTAAGTGGAAAGAAATTCAAGGATAAGCATATTGTATATTAATGGTGGTCTAGTGACATGTAACACAGGCAATATCATGAATCCAAAGTGACACACAGAATACACTCAACTGGCAAATAACCATTTGGAGTCTAACTGAAAATTGAAAATTTTGTAATAATATGGTAGGAATTATACCTGTGATTCTTAAAAGAAAACCTGACGTGAAGTAGCCTTTGCTTTATAATTAGCATGATGAGATAATTCAGGCTACAGAACATTTGCTAGCAATTATGGTGCTTGCTCGCTCCACGCACAGATCAAAAATAACAGCAAAGTTTGTTTTGCTAATCTCTCCTCTGGATTTGTGAATTATTTGTTTTTATTATCTTAAAGATAAACTGGGAAGAAAAATCCAAGGTAGTGGGAATTTTTATAAGACAGAACACTGAAGTTGTCTTTGGATGTGGACGCCACATTTAATTTAATAAAAACCGAAGCAGACCATGTTGGAAGCTCTAATGCAGGAATGTGTTTATAATAAGGGAAGTGCCACAGGTCAGAAAACAAACATGGGCTCTGAAACTGAGGAGGATGGTCCTACCTGCTATTCCTGATTCTTCTGGGTGATTCTGAGCAGGTCACATCCCCTTCCTGGATGCCGACTACGTTCTCTAAATAGTGGCGGCAATTATACGTGCTCTGCCCATCTAAGAGGCTATGAAGAAAAACAAAGGAAATAACATGCTTTAGGCTATTAAGACTTTTTTATAAATACAAAGAATAAACTGCAACATCATTATAATATTCACATAATGTTCTCTAGAGTTTACAGCATGCTGGCACATCTAACAGATGGTGTTATTCTTACAATTCCTGGCCATCATCACTCTCTACGGATCACAAATCTCAGCTGCTTGAGGAGTGGAAAGAAACTTACTTTTAGAGTTAGACAGTCAGGGATTTCAACCTCAGCTCTGGCTGTGTGAGCTTAGGCAAGTGAGTGACCTCTCTTTGATCTTGGATACACACTTGATGCAATGGGGATGAGGAAACACCTGCCTTACTGCCTGAAACCTTTTTGGTAGAATATAGATAGTCATACCTTTATTACAGTAAGCAATAATATTCAAATATTAGGGTCAAATAGGCTGACAGATGAGTATACCAACAGTAACAACATCATAATACCTGTCAATTTTTTTTTTTACCACTTTCTTTGCTTTGAGTGCAATTCTGAAACTTTCCCATGTATTAACTCAGTGACACTCAGAACAGTTCTATGAGGAAAAGCCTGTCATTTTCACTTTACGCCTGAGGAGACTGAGACAGACAGGGATGGAGTATTTGTCGAAGGCCACCCAAGTGTAAGGGGCCCAGGTGGGATTTGGCACAGGAAGTCTAGGTCCAGCGCCTGCCTCGGTAACCTTATACTGCATTGTCTTTCTAATTACTACCATTTATTGACCACTTACTGTGTGAGCAATGCTCTATCACTCTTCCAAGTGCATAAGATTTATTCACTCTTAATACTTGCAGCAAACAATGATTAAAGTTATCATTTAATTAAAACCCTTATGCCCAGTTAAGTTTGGTTTTCATATAATGATAAATAATTTTTATTATAAGTATGTCCTATGCAATATTTGAGATATACTAAAAAATATTAATTACATGAAATTAGAATTAAAATTTAAGGGGACAGCCTGTATTTTATCCAGCAGCCCTATCATTAGATAAGGTGGGAAGTAATCTAGTTCCTGGTACTGAGTGGACCTCAGAAAATAGCAACTCCTACCATTATTGTGAGTTTTAGGTAATCTTTTCATATTTGTTTTCAATTGTTCCTCTAGTCCAACTAAAATTAGAAGCTATAGGCATGAAGAGAATGATAATTATAATATACTAATAAAACCTAAAATAATGATGCCTCTGTAACTATCACAAAAATTATCTAAATGAAACCTCATAAAAACCCTGTAAAGTAAATATTATGCCCATTTAATAGCAAGAAAGTAAGTCTCAGCACCATTAAATAATCTGTCCAAGGGCACATAAATAAATAAAAAATTAAATGGTAGTCCTTAGAGTATGAGAGCCATGTTACTGAATATCAGGTTTTACAATGAAGAAAACAGGTAGGAGTTTGGAGTCGAGTCCCAATTCCTGTTAATGGCAGCACACGTCTGAAAACTGAAGGCATTGTCACCTACGGTACTAAAGCCAGTCAGCAGCAAAAGAAGAGGCACAGAGATAAAGCATCTTCAAGTATCAGTACTAAATTTAACAAGATCATCACACATACTTGTTTTTTTCCTTGGATATTTCTATGATCTCACACCCTGAGAGATACTTCTGGATAGTTGCCAATTTTGAGAAGTTTTATGTTCCAGACACCTTAATAAGAACCTTACCATTCCGAACAATAACCAAGAGGTAAAATCCCCATTGCACATGCAGGAAAACTGAGGCTCTGAAAATTAAGTCAATTGCATGTAGTTTAACTTCTAGTTAGAAGGTGGCAGAGCTGAGCCTGCACGCAGTCTGATAGTGTTCCACCACCTACTCGTATGGCAAGTATGTAATTTATGTGCTCCTGTGCTTTCCCATGCCCACTGTAAACATGACTGGTGAGCCATGGTACTCTCTCTGTTTGAACCTGGAAGTGACCACAAAATCCTTCTATAGGCATTACTCTGGATAGCCATAACTTGTCAATAGCAGCGGGTATTCAGTCATACTACTGGCTACATCTGCATCACCTCCTCCTAATGAACACCTTTATCTTAATGGTAACAGTGAAAAAATAGTCAATTCTACATGCTGTGTGATGCATGCTACTTTACAAAGACTGTCTGGCAATGGAACTGAGATGTGATGGTTCAGAGGCAGCAACCCAACTGCCACTTACAAAGAAAGAGAGCTTGCTGTGGGAAGAACCCAGGGCTCTCTGCCACCAAGCCAGTGGTGAAGCCACCATTTCCAAAGTCTCGATGTTGCTTTGATGGCCTATTGTTTCCCACTCTGCTCTGTGCCAACAGTGAAGCCTAGAACACTGCCCTCTCTGAGGGGTTAGGTTTAATTCTCGGACAGCAGGCTCTCCCAGGCTAATGACTGTTTGATGTTGGGAGTGCCCTCGGATCATGACACGCAGTACAGATCTGGGAGAGCAACAGGTCATTACCATGGCCTCCCAGTCCATAAACTAAGCCCAGCTGGTTTCCCTCCTTGGGCCCCAGTTCCCTCCATTCTCCCTCTAGCCCACATATAATGATGCTTGTTTTCTCTTTCTTCAGAGGATTTAAAAACTGCGTGGACATACCCAAGGCACTGTTAGTCAAAGTTCAGGAAGAGACCATGAACCCAGTTAGGAACATGCAGAATTAAAATTAGAGTGGGGGTGGGACAGGGAACGTTATTCTTTAAATATGCCTATTTCTAGCATAACAGGACTTGCAGACCTCACAAATAGGATCCCTAAATTGTATTCAGTCCCAGCCCTCCCCTATCGTTGTCAAAAACAACATAGAACCAGTTTATCACAGTCAAAATACGTCTTGAGAGAAGGGAAATGCGCTTTAGAATCCACAAGAAGGGATATAAGCAGCTTGGAAAAGTGTCAAAGGGTCTGGTAAATGAGAGGAGTACACATGAGAGGAAAGGGAAATGGGATCAAGCGCAGACAGCCAGTGCGGGAAGGTGGTAAGTTTGAAGGTAGTCGGTACCAAACACTGTTAAGAAGAGTCACTGTAAACATGACTGGTGAGCCATGGTACTCTCTCTGTTTGAACCTGGAAGTGACCACAAAATCCTTCTATAGGCATTACTCTGGATAGCCATAACTTGTCAATAGCAGCGGGTATTCAGTCATACTACTGGCTACATCTGCATCACCTCCTCCTAATGAACACCTTTATCTTAATGGTAACAGTGAAAAAATAGTCAATTCTACATGCTGTGTGATGCATGCTACTTTACAAAGACTGTCTGGCAATGGAACTGAGATGTGATGGTTCAGAGGCAGCAACCCAACTGCCACTTACAAAGAAAGAGAGCTTGCTGTGGGAAGAACCCAGGGCTCTCTGCCACCAAGCCAGTGGTGAAGCCACCATTTCCAAAGTCTCGATGTTGCTTTGATGGCCTATTGTTTCCCACTCTGCTCTGTGCCAACAGTGAAGCCTAGAACACTGCCCTCTCTGAGGGGTTAGGTTTAATTCTCGGACAGCAGGCTCTCCCAGGCTAATGACTGTTTGATGTTGGGAGTGCCCTCGGATCATGACACGCAGTACAGATCTGGGAGAGCAACAGGTCATTACCATGGCCTCCCAGTCCATAAACTAAGCCCAGCTGGTTTCCCTCCTTGGGCCCCAGTTCCCTCCATTCTCCCTCTAGCCCACATATAATGATGCTTGTTTTCTCTTTCTTCAGAGGATTTAAAAACTGCGTGGACATACCCAAGGCACTGTTAGTCAAAGTTCAGGAAGAGACCATGAACCCAGTTAGGAACATGCAGAATTAAAATTAGAGTGGGGGTGGGACAGGGAACGTTATTCTTTAAATATGCCTATTTCTAGCATAACAGGACTTGCAGACCTCACAAATAGGATCCCTAAATTGTATTCAGTCCCAGCCCTCCCCTATCGTTGTCAAAAACAACATAGAACCAGTTTATCACAGTCAAAATACGTCTTGAGAGAAGGGAAATGCGCTTTAGAATCCACAAGAAGGGATATAAGCAGCTTGGAAAAGTGTCAAAGGGTCTGGTAAATGAGAGGAGTACACATGAGAGGAAAGGGAAATGGGATCAAGCGCAGACAGCCAGTGCGGGAAGGTGGTAAGTTTGAAGGTAGTCGGTACCAAACACTGTTAAGAAGAGTCAGAGTAGGATTTGTGAACACAGACGTAGGTGGTAGCTTAGAGTTTAGACTCTGAAGCACATAAGTAGACTGAATCCAAGCTCGCCTCCAGCTAGCTTTGTGGCTTCAGGTAACCCACTTACATTCTCTAAGTCTCAATTTCCCCATCTATAAAATGGGGATCTTAATACCACTTGTCTCATAGCACTGCTTTCAGAGGTTTGTGACATAATTCTGTAAAGTGTTTAGCAAGAAGTCTGGCACCTGAATAACTCAATATAAGTAAGTTATCACTACTATCTAACTATGCCCACAGTATATTATTGACAGTTTTTTACAAAGTTAAATAATACTGTTTATTAAATGACTCCATTTACATAAAATAATTTCTCTGTATATATGCTTATTCACAAAAGGCAAAAAGAGAAAAAGCTTGAAAGATATGGACCCAGAGCTGTTAACCATTGGGAGAGAGTAAGTTTTTTTCTCTTTAAATATTTCTGTGTCATTTGGTATTTATCTTTACAAGGAGGATTTATTATTTTTACAAGAAAATAAGGATAAAACTATAAAAAAATAAACTTATGACCCTGAAGCTTGGAGTATAGCTTGGGTTTAAGAGACACCAGGGTGGCCACAACATCCTTGACAAAGCAGCCTCGATGACAAGGAAGTGTAACCACTTGGCAAAAGGATAAAAATGAAAAGGAGGGTGGAGTTCTCAGTGATGCAAAAAGGAGACTAAATGTGCAGGGTGTGAGGCGGCATCCCAACAACTCGTGCCAAGAGTAGATTAACCCAGTTTCCACCATGACTGATGGAATAAGGGGCTTTGGGTTGTCTTGCATGAGGTCAAGTTTATTCCTCTGTTCACAGCTGTGTTTGGACTATACATCAGGTGCATGAAGTGTGGATAAATGAAATGCATCTTGAAGGGAAATTTTAGAGCCCAGTTAACCAAGTGAAGAAGGATTCATATGGCCAACTCTGGCAGAAGTATTCTTAGCATTAGAAGGTGTGAAGCTGATTGGACTGAGGTTTTTGAAACTGGCAATTAGGCCAAGAAGCTGATGTTATTTGAAAGGGAATAAGAAATTTATTGCGTTACTCTAGATGCAATGAGTATTCAAAGTGTAATTTTTCCAACAACCTTTCATGGGTCAAAACAACTTTCCTGCCTTTCTATATTTTGGAGAGAATTTCGGCAAGGTGTAAAGCATGTGAAAGCACCTCCATTGCATTTCAGCTTCTATTTGGGTCACTGAAACCATGAACTTACTATTCGTAAGTAACTCTGGAGCTGGAAGACCCACCTCCCAGGCAGGTCGTCCACCTGGCTACAAGAAGGTGCTGGCAGAGGCCTCGATGCCTTTCCAAAGGTGCCTTTCCTTGAGGCTGGTTGTACGTCATCCAGTGCTGTGGAGGGATTTGGCCAAAGCAAGTTATCCAAGGGACTCAGGTGGGAGCTGCCATGCCTTTTATGGCCTGCCTCGAAGTCGCACACAAGCCTTAAAAGTCAGCATAGGCCAGCCCTGATTCAACATGGGAGGCAAATATGCAAAGGAGTCAATAAAACGAGGTGAGAATCATTGGGCACCATCTTGAAGACTGGCTAACATAGGCACCAGGACCCACGGACAGCGCTTAGAGCCCACTGGATGCAATACCGGGAAGAGATGATACCCTTGGCAGAGATCATCAAAGCCTGGTTTAAGGGTTAGAAAGTTCTGAATATTCACAAGGTCAGACTGTGAGGCAGAGGATGGACAATTTGACCTCTAAAGTGTATCTGAGTTCTTGTGGACCCATTTCTTAGTTATTCTATGATTAAGAATCACTGCCCCAGGATTAAAGGGAATGTCAGTGAACAGCTGATTCCTTCAACAAATTATTTATAGAGTACCTACAATGTGCTGGACACATTGCTAGGCCCTGTAGCTACCCCTACCAAAAAGTGCTTGTAACAGTAAAGACTATAAATACTTACCTGATACATGAATTATAACTCTTCACAAGAAAAATTACAGGATTCCATGAGGACTAAAATTAGCCAGGCAGTGTCAGGGAAGTGATATTAAATGGAGGGATGATGAGTAGGAGATTTCCAGAAAATGAGAGTAAGAGGGAGTTGTAAGTAGAAGGAACAGCATGTACTAAGGCTGCGAGCGGGCGGCAGGACAGAGTACCCTGATTCCTGAACCCCCTGGCCCTGGCCTATACTTAGGAAGTCACTGATAACTGTGATTCACTTGAGTCAGTACTTCCTTATTGGGAAAAAAGTCTTCATCATTTAATACCAAATTATTTTTTCCTTTCAGTTCTGTATACAGACATGCAAGTTGTTTTCCAGATATGCAAAGCATCAAGGTAAAGTTGTTGGGCACATCCTAGGAGAAGAAAACTTCTATTTCCTATAATAGGAAAAATATCTGAATTAGAACAGAAAGCATAACTAAGAATTTTATTGCTAAAGGCTCTGGCTCTTTTCAGTGCTTGAAATTAAAATGAGCAGTTCAAGAAATATTGTGAAGTGGATTTTTAAATCTCCTGACCATTAATCTCCCATAGCCATCATTTTACACAGGCAAATCACTACAAGGGGATACTTGGCTATTTGTATGGATGGTCTACTTCATTCCTTTTCTATGCTCTGAAATAACCTCAGATATAAAAATCATAAATGTACAAAAGCAAAACCATGTAACGGTCCCTTTAAGATGAAACTGGCAGTGTTTTAACTAGAAATTACTGACTGTTCCAAAAGTGACATTCTGTGTTCTGCAGTAAGAAGGAGAGCTTTTTTGTGTGTTTTTTCCCCTCCCATTCAGTACAACAATGAGTCACCATTACCTGCAAAGCTAGACATGTAGATTTGCCTCTTGGGCCAGAAAGGTAAGACACTAGTTGGCTGGGAGTTAAAATGAGAAGGGTGAAAAATGTTTAATTTACAGATTTAATTGAACATGAATGCTGCCAGGGAAGAAAACATGTCACCCAACCCCCATTCCCCACTTTTTAAGATGTCTCTACTGATCCTCATGCCAAAGAGGCTACATACATTAGAGAACGCATTTTTAATGGTTTGTATAAAGCATCAATTTGCCCCAAATCAGAAAGAGTGAGGATTGGTACAGACAAAACCTCTAAAGGAAACTAACTTAAACTTACTTATGTAAAGGCTGTCTCTTGTGCCCACCTATCTTTGGCCTCCATGAAGCATGGTGAAGATGAGGTGGTAGAAACATAAGCTCATAGGTTTCCTCAGAATATGATGATTATGTACAATGTATAATAGGCCTGAGTTACCTCCTAAGACAATCTCTTTCCCCAGCCCTTTTCCCCCAAATAAGGTTTTCCCAGCCAAGAAACCTGACTCTTATTTTCATAATGCTTCAGGCATGCACAGCAAAGAACAGCTCTTTCTGCCCTTATAGTTTAGACAAGACCATTCCTTCTGAGCTGAAAAGCTAGAATTTCATCCCTTTGTCTTCATGAAACTGAACACTCAGAGAGAAAACAAGAGAGTAAACTCATACCTCATCTTTCCAAAAATAAAGAACAAATAATGAATGTGGGCACATACTTTTAAAGACATCTCTTTTTGAAGCTAGTATAGACAAAGATACATATGTAGTTCAAGACATGCTCGGGTACTCTGCACAGGGACAGACTGCCTTATGACATACTCTAGGATCTCTAGTTTCTGCAGATTCAACTCTAATCATGTTTCAAATCCTGAAGTCCAACTTTCTCAATTTTAATGAAATGTGTCCAAACGTGACTCCCAAGACTATGTAACAGGAGGAGGATATGCCCTTGGATATTAGAGGTGGTGGTAAGAAGACAGTAAGCTGAGAGATTCATAGCATAAAACTGCAAAGGGGGGAACAGTGAACCCCAAATGAAGAGGAAGCACAGTTTTTGTGTGTGTGCAAGAACCAACGGAGTCTCTCTTCTAAGAAAAAGGTAAACAATTTGATTGTAAGTAGGATAGTTTTCAGTTTCTCTAAAGGAATTTTTCAGGGACACACTGAACAGAACATGTTACCTAGATGAGCCTGTTCATCTAGTGGACCAGAACTGGGTTTAATTCTGTTCTTTGCTGCTAGTATTCATCACAAGAGGAGCGATATCCCAAAAGTGGTAAGTCAAGCACACTCATTGTTCCAGCATCTCTGCATTCAGGATGGCTGGCTTGAACACCGACAGCATAAGAAACAACAGTAGGCACTTTTAAAAGGACATTGCTTTTTGAGTCTGCTTACATATTCCTTTTATACCACCAACAAAATACTTCTATTTTTTTACTTTTCTGTTAAAGTGTTCTAATACCTTGCAGCTTCAGCAGCAGCTTCTTCATCTTTATTTTCACGGAGATTTTTACAATTTCTCAAATTCATTCCTATAGAGAAGACAATGGCATCCAAAAGACACTATAAATTTGTCATTCTGTCTGCTCAAAAAAGAATTCTCTTTAATCTGGGAACTAGTCCTTCCACAGCTTTTTGCTCCAGGAGGGGTTGCCCATTAGTTTAACCCACTTCCTGATTACACGAGGAGCACGTGACCCAGCTGGGACAATCGCCACGCCCCAGCCATGACTGGTCTGAGAGATGCACACATGACCCACTTAAGCACATGAGAGTACTGTTTGGAGTGAACAGAGGCCCCTCTTTAACTCTGGTGATGAAACTAGGAAACAGTGGGTCTGAAAGCTGCCATCAGCCTTGTCTCCGGCCAGGGGAGGGAGCTGACAGAGGAAATGGAGCCAACACGCAGAGGAAGAACTGAGAGAGGGAGAGAGAAAATTCTGCATCCCATCTCTGGCAGTGTTCATTCTCACATAGGAGCGGCCCAAGATTCTGCCAAACAATCACCCTCTTTGACTCCTTTGATAGCTCAGGTCAGGTTTCTCTAACCTCCTGACTAAATCAAGTTCTAAATGCATCAAGAGGTAGCTTGCACTGCAGTCTACACAGAATAGGCACCTGAAGTAGGTAAGTTAAAGGGCAACTGTTTTTGTTTTCTTTTGTTTTAGAAGGCAGAAAAGCAAATCCTAAATTGGATGGCTGTCTGAGTTTTATTATAATTACCACTAATAGTGATACGAGATCAAGTGTAACATTTCAGGTATTACTATGTGAAATGATTAAAATACAGACCAAGGCAGTCCAGTGGAAATACAACTTGAGCCAATATCAAATTTTAAATCTTCTAGTAGCCACATTTTAAAAAGTAAAAAGAAACAGGTAAAATTAATCTTACTATTATATTTTATTTAATCCAATATATCAAAAACCTGCAATGTTATCATATAATCAATGTGTCTTCCAAATCCAGCATGTACTTTACACTTACAGTACATTTCAGCCTGGACTAGCCACAATTCAGGTGCTCAATAGCCTCAAGTGAGGTCTGGCTCCTATACTGGACAATGCAAGTCACATTCCCTGATTTAAGTTCTCAGTCCACCATTAACTAGTTCTATGAGCTTGAGAGACCTATCTGTTCTATTTGAGCCTCAGTTTCCTCATCTCTAAGCTGGGGATGGTAATAATCATCCCTTCATCACAGAGTGGATAAAGATAGAGATAAGTGGGTTGGATGAAGTTCCTGGTCACACTGAGCTGCATTCTAGTGGGGAGCATGGACAACTACTAGAATAAATATAGGTAAAGGGCATGACGTTGGATAGTGCTAAAAACAATTCCTCAAGTTAGTGAGATAGCAACTAACCATGCAGGGGATGAAGAAAAAGGGCTGCTTAGAGAGGGTTATCAGGGTAGACCTCTCTAAAAAGGTGATCAATTACCTGAAAAACAGGGTGAAACACAGCCAACTACATAGCATCGAATGCAGGAGGCCAACATCTATGTTTCAGGAACCCCGAAGCTGTCTTCCAGAAAGCACACACAGAAATAAATATCATGGTGAAGGCTTCCGTGTGGGAATCCATTTGTCAGCAGCCGATACCACATCATTTACCAACTTCCAGTGATATAACCATGCTGCCAGCAGCTGCTTAGCATCCTGCATTGTTTTCTCAGGAAGCTCCTGCATCTCCTCTACCCTCTGGGAGAGAAAATTAAAGAGAGAAAACAAATTCTGTTGACAGAGGGAAGTGTGGGGCTCAGTGGCATGGAAAAATTAGAGCAAGGTAATTTCAGACAATTCTTGGTTTGGAATAGGCTGGCACAGGTGCTGTGGGGCAACCCCTGCATATCTTCCCTACAAATGCAGCATTTCAGGACAAACTGGAGCTTGTGAGGTCCTGCAGAAACACGGTCTCTGGGCGGTGCACCTCTCGTGCTGAGGCTGCCAAGTGCCAAACTGTCCTGGCTCAGGGCTGGGCCCACTATTGGCTGTCTTGTTTTCATTCCCTCTGCCTGTTTGTCTTTGAAAGCAAATTGCCTCCCTAGGCTATTTATGACATGTCTCGGGCAGCTGGCCTGGCAGCCTGTAGAGTGGCTTTGGATTTGCCATTGCAGGTAAGAAAGCTGGAGAAGGGTTTTACATCAACAAGGGGTTCAGAACAGGGTTTGTGCCAAGCCCTTGCTCAGCACCTTTACACAGTAGTTCCTTTCACCCTCCTCAAAACAACCCCAAGAGAAAGGTACTGCTCCCCACATTTTGCAGTAAAGAAAACTGAGGCTTAGAAAGATTAAGTCATTTCCTCAAAGCCACACAGCAATTAAGTGTTGATGCCAAACTCTTTGATATTCCCCCTGGTTTGTGCTAACTGGGAACAGTTTAAGCTGGAAAAAGTGGAAGTGCATGGAGTGTCACATAGCAACAGAATCTTATATAGGTAAGAAACTCAAGCAAGGGGAGCACCTGAACTTGATTCTAATCAGCCTCTGAGTTCACATCCAGGCCACCATGCGCAGATTTTTCATTTTGTTCCCAAATCTGCTCCAGAGACAACAGATAATGTGTAGAAAAGATGCACTTTAAGGGTATAGGGAGTGCATCACTGGGAACAGAGTCCAGAGAAGGGGATGGAAGAATTTGGATTGGCACTGCAAAGACAAATGTTGAATTCATTAATAGATGCCTTTAGGAGAGTTTTTAGAAGCACAGGATAAGACTGAGGCCAAAATGTGAGTAAAATAGCAAAAACAGATTGCTTATTCCTCTTCAAAATGTCATACTTCCCACCTGCGGCAGTGTTGGGAGTCTAAATTTGGCTGCATTATACAGGATTCATGCATACACCTATGGAAGCCTGACACCCACCCTTTCTGCCCCACCCGGCCCCAGCTTATTCACATTGCTTGCTTGTCAGATTCAATGCTTTCTTTGTCCTTATCACCGTTGGTTATGGCAATGCTTGTCACTCCCCTTTCTCAATACTGTGTCCTCTGTTG